TGCGAACTTGGGTGAAGTAGAAGATGGTATTCCTCAATGAGAAGAGAGATCAGAGGGGAGTCAGGGCAAGTTACTGGAGGCTTGATAAGTAGTTTAAGGTGAGGAAGAGAATACTGAATATCTGAAGTGTAAACCCTCGCCTAATCCACAGTAAACAGTTTTAAAAACAAACTTTGCTTTCCCACTGTCTTGGGGGTTAAAAATATCCAAGTTGAAGCAAAGCTTTTAATATCCCAGAATTCTTGTTCGGCCTTTGCTCTTGCTTTAGCTTTAAACGTGGAATGTTCTTTCTCCACACACCTCACTGTCATGGCCTTGCCGGGCAGACCACTTGTGGACCAGCCTCATACACCTTTACCTGGTAAAGCCTGGCACTCCTGTTGGCGCTGATCCCACTGGCAGTTCAAGTTGAGTGAGCAGCTCTTACAGCTGGTAAGTTTGTTACAGATCTGCTCGTTCCTCACATGGCATTTGGTATAGTTTCTGACCGTCTAGAAAATGAAGAGATTAAAAACAAGCTATGTTTGAACATCCATGCATATATATAAATACACTTGGGAACTATAAAATACAGATTTCTGTACTCAAATCCAATCTAGTGGATCAAAATCTCTCATACTCATTGCATTATTCAATCCAGAGTTTCTCCAGTCATTAGAATGCACCCAAGAGACAGAAAAGAAACAGCTCAAATAATCAAACAGGAACTGTCTAGTGAAAATCTCTTCTACTGAAAACACACACTTCCAAGTCAATAAATAAAGCCAATGAGCAGTCATTTCCCTTCATGATTATATGAAATAATGCTAGCTTTAATAAAACCATCCTATAATCCCTGAAGAAATGAAGCATGAATGAAAAGGGATGGTTAAAGAGATGTTTTATCAAAATCCAATAATTTGAGAAGATAAATTCCTTTCTCGATAACTCAAATTAAACATACTTTCAGAACTAATGATGTTGGTTAGTTGATGCTTAATCAGTGTCTATTTTTCAAATTTCCTGCATTGAGGCTGCAAAGAACCTGCAGTGGTTACACTTAAAATTTCTCTTATTCTAGCTAATTTCTGCATTGATACGTTAAAGGTTTTAAAAAAAGATTAAAAAAACAAAATCTACAGGCAAGTCCTTATGTCAAACCATCTACCATGGTTCAGACACTTCACGAGGTCTACAATAAATATGTCCACACTAAAACCGAGGGCGTCCTGGTAGCGTCAGTGGTTGCAACTCCCCAGCCACTCCATGGCAAAAAGGATCTCGGCGCCTGCTCCCGTAAAAGACTTCAGCCTGGGAGCGCATGGCCTGTAGGGCTGCTATGATTTGGAACTGATTCCACAACACACAGTAACAGCGTAACAACTGACCTTGTGAAAACCAGATCCTGAACTGTATGGCGCAATGGACCCTGTGATTCTTGTTTTAGGAAGAAACAGACAAAGAGCTTAAGACTACAGGGCTGGACCCCGAAGCGCATCCTCACCTGGTTTACCTCCATAGGTAAGCATCACTTCTCCTGTTAAGGGGAAGTACATACTTCTCTTCAATCATTGAGGCTAAAGCTTCCTTAACATTAGGTTGTAACCACCCGTGCACATTAAAGTGATTGAAGCAAGGGCTATCCTTCGTTGTTGTTTTGAGCTGCTGTTAAGACATCTCCGACTCATAGGGAACCCATGGACAACAGAACAAAGCACTTCCCGTCCTGGCTAACCTCACAATTGTTGTTGGTTTGAGCCCGTTGTTGCAGTCCCTGTGTCCATCCAGCTCGCCAAGGGCCTGCCTCTTTTCCAGTGCCCTCCACTTTACCAAGCACGCAGTGACCTTCTCCAAGAACTGGTCTCTCCTGATAACACGTCCAAAGTGGGTAAGACAAAGTCTAGTCCTCCTTGCCCCTCGGGAGCATTTTGGCTGTACTTTTTTTTTTTTCAATCGTTTTATTAGGGGCGCATACAACTCTAATCACAGTCCATACATACATGAATTGTGTAAAGCACATTTGTACATTCATTGCCCTCATCATTCTCAAGACATTTGCTTTCCGCTTAAACCCCCGGCTGTACTTCTTCCAACACAGATTGGTTGGTTCTTTTAGCATCCCACAATATTTTCAATATTCTTCACCAACTTCACACTTCAAATAAATCAATTCTTCTTCACTCTTCTCTATTCAACGTCCAACTTTCACATGCATATGAGGCAAGGTAGGGTAGAAAGGGGGAACTGATCACAAGGATCTACATATAAGCCCCTCACTGAGTGGTGGACAACAGAAAAGTAGGTCAAGGAAGATGTTGGACGGTGTAAGACATGACAAAATAATAATAATTTATAAATTATCAAGGGTTCAGGAGGGGAAGAGGGCAAGGAGGGTTGGGGAAAATGAGGAGCTGATACCAAGGGCTCAAGTAAAAAGAAAATGTTTTGAGAATGATGATGGCAACAAATGTACAAATATGCTTGACAAAATGGACGGATGGATGGATTGTGATAAGAGTTGTATGAGGCCCCAATAAAATATAGAAAAAGAAAATACCATGGCTTAGGTCAGGCACACCTTCGTCTTCAAAGTAACACCCTTGCTTTGCAACACTGTAAAGAGGTCTTGTGCAGCAGATTTGCTAACGCGATGTGTCCATTGATCTCTTGACTGCTGCTTCCATAAGCATTGATTGTGGATCCGAGCAAGACTAAATCCTTGACAACTCCAACCTTGTCTTCGCTTATCATGATGTTGTTACCTATTGGTCCAGTTGTGAGGATTCTGATTTTCTTTACCTTGAGTTATAATCCAGACTGCAGGCTCCAATCTTGTGATGTTCATCAGCACATGCTTCAAGGCCTCCCCACTTTCAGCAAGCAAAGTTGGGTCATCTGCATACCACAGGATGTTAATAAGCCTTCCTTCAATCCTGACGCCACACTCCACTTCATGTAATTCAACCTCTCTTATTACCTGCTCAGCATACAGATGTAATAAGTATGGTGAGAGGACACAGCCCTGACACCCATCTTTCCTGATTTTAAACCATGCAGTATTCCCTTATGCTGTTCACACCACTGCCTCTTGATCCAGGTATAGCTTCTGCAGGAGCACAATGAAGTGTTCTGGAATTCCCATTCTGCTCAAGACTGACTGATCCACACAGGTGATTGCCTTTGCAGAGTCAAGGAAGCACAAGTAAATATCTTTCTAGTATTCTCTGCTTTGAACCAAGTTCTATCTGACATCAGCAATGATATCCCTTGCTTCACATCCTTTAGAATCCAGCCTGAACCTCTGAGCTCCCTATCAATGTACTGCTTAACAAAGCAAAAATTTATTTGCATGTGATTATCAGTGATATTATTCTATGATTTGAGCATCCTGTTGGGTCACCTCTCTTTGCAATGGGCACAAAGATGGATCTATCCCAGTCAATTGGCCAAGTAGCTGTCTTCCAAATTTCCTGGCCTAGGCGAGTGAGTGCTTCCAGTGCTTCATCAGCTGTTGAAACATTTTGATGGGTGTTCCATTAATTCCTGGAGCCTTGTGTTTGCCTAATGCTTTCAGTGCTACTTGGACGCCTTCCTTCAGGACCAATGGTTCTTGTTCATATGTGAACTCTTGAAATGGTTGAAGGTCAACTAGTTCTTTTCTGTACAGTAACTCTGTGTTCTTTCCATCTTCTTTTTGATGCTTCTAGCATCATTCAATATTTTATCCATAGAATCTCTTAATACTTCACTTGAGGCTTGAATTTTCTTGAGTTCTTTCAGTTGAAGATCTGCTGAGCATGCTCTTCCTTCTTGGTTTTCTAACTCCAAGTCTTTGTACCTATCCTCTTAGTACCCTAAAAGTCACCCAATGGACACTTACTTATAAACAGCTGTACTTTCCAACAAGAAATGCTTCATAGACTCTACCTTTCCAGGGGTGCTGATATTTTATAGTACAATAAGTTTACTATAAGGTAAGAGCAGGGGAGAAAAACCAAAAATGATATAAGTATCTTCATCCACTAAAACAATGGATTATGCTTTAAACTCACATTACTTTGTAACTCTTAATCACCACAACTTTATTAGAAAGACATACATTTTCTTACTGATACTTCTCTGATCCAGGTTGTTGTTAGTAGCCATCAATCAACTTCCACTCATGAGGTCTTCCCGTGTGTAACAGAAAATAATGTAGCCCGGTGTCACACCGTCTTCCAGATTGCTAATGTTTGTGTTTCTTTCTTTGTTTGCTTATTTGGTCTTCCTATAGCATATAAACCTTAACATGATTTGATATAACCATGACGGTATAGATTTAAATGTTTCTCAGCCAACTGAGAGAAATTTACTTTAATTATCTGATAAACAGAATAACCGACCAAATTTGACAGCAGCATAGATGCACAGCACGTTGGCATAAGAGAATAAGGAATGGCTTCACACCGGCCGTTAGAGTAGCAATGGTCACACGAGAGCCCATCCAAATTAACGGCTGCTCTTCATTAAGAACAATGTTGTCATTGATTGACACTGAACCAGGACAATAGATGAAATTATATTTCATTCCACACGCAAGGCCAATTCAATCAATGATAGAAGACAGCTGACCGCTATTCCGAACCATGACAGGATTTTGTTAACCTTCCCAATGAATCAAATGTACATTGGTGACTTAGCTATGAGGGGTAACTATTACTCTACTGATCTTTTAACATATTTCGGTGTAAATTTAAAATAAGAAAGCTCTAGAAGCATGCAGTTTATATGAGCTACTAAAGCACAAAATACACACCTTATGAGAAAGATGGCTAAATAATGAAGAAAGGTAGCAATGTACATAATTTACACCCAAATCCCACAGTCCTTTCTAGGCCCATTAGCATTTGGTTTAGCTTAAGCACGACATTCTGATAAAACTGTCTGAAAAACACAGTACATCAAATTCTAAATTACAAGTGAGTACCATCTGCTCACTTGTACCACCTCGCCCAACACTTGCCTGGTTAACACATCATTATTGGAAATAAAAGATGAAGCAAAGGGTCAGTTTATAAAATACATATTTGATAGTTATTGATATAACACAACTTTAAGATCATAGAGAGTAATTTTTTTTTTGAGGAGGGGTTGGTTTGGGTTATTTTTTTTAGTTTAATTATTTAAACCCAAATGAATTTAGGATTATTCGACAAAGCTTTAAATGAAATCTGTTAGGATTTTTTTATAAACAACATTCCCTACTTTAATCCCTTATTCCCATGCCTTATTTAACTTAACTCCTATTACTCACTGAAATAACTCCCACTAGATGAATATTAATGTAAATCTAAAAAGTAATTCAAATTTTCAATGCACAGTCATGTCATATTAATGTTATTAACTGAGTAAAGTTGAAGTCCATCTTGTTTTTAAACCAAGCGACGTCACTGGCCAGTACCAGCCTGTCACTAGACCATCTAAGAAAGTCACAGGACTCCATCTTAATGATGAGCAACTCCCAACTACCATTTAGCATTTTAAATATTTTTAATCGAATCATAAAACTTAAATCTACTAACACACTACCAAGGAATGGAGAAACATTTGTAAAGATATCACTTATAATGTTTTCATACCTTAAATTCACAACCCCTTTTTTTTTTACTTTTTGCTCATTTGAAAAAGTGCATACCTTGGTGAATGAATAAACATTCAGAAAAATAAAATTCAAGGTGTCATATTTAGTTGTCCTCTGCACAATCCATTTTGAATGGTGCATCAGTATAAGCTATAGCACAACAAGAAGAATCTTTCATCCTAGTAAACATTCTTCTTATTTTTTTTCTTTCAAATTGTTGACATGTAGAAAGCACGAGATATTTTGATGCTATTACCTTAAAATATTAATTTTTGCTGCTCCCCACTCATTCTCATCTGCCATAAATATTAATTGTGTAATTTTTTTCAATAGCTCTTTTTCAACTAGGTAGTTTCTCACTCTCAGATCTACTGACATCTTGAGCCCGATGTTGTAAGGTGCTACGCATTATAAGATGTTTGGCCACAGCCCTGACCTCTACTTTGATAACCCTACTAAGAGCCCCCACTTGTTAAGACCACAGTGTCTCCTGACACTGATACAGATCCCCAGGAGGGCAAAGCTGCGAAGAATCACCCATCTAAAGACAGACCGAGTAGCAAAACTCGAGATCAAACTCCCTGCCAGTAAGTCTATGCCGATTCCCAGCGACCCCATAGGATTGGGTAGAACTGCCTGCCCCCCGTGAGTTTCTGAGACTGCAACTCTTTACCGGAGTAGAAAGCCCCCTCTAAAATCCTCGGAGTGCGGGTGGTGCTTGTTGATAAGGGTTGAACCGCACATCACAAGCTCAGCCGTTCAAATGGAGCCTCACAAGTGGAGGCCCAGTGGACTCGGGGACGGGGGTTCTGAAATGCTCAAAATAAATTCATGCACGGAGCATGTGAAGGAAACACTCGTACAGTATCTCTGAGAATCGAGTTTCAACTGAGCAAATCCTATTTCCGTCTGCACAGAAGATAACATGGATAGCCTTTCTTTCTTTTTTTTAAAATCAGTCTTCATAGCATGGTCCCAGTAGCACACATGTAAAGAAATAAAAGTTACAGGATCCTAAAGGAAAGCAACACCGACAAACTGGAGCAACAAAGCTATATGGTCTGCACCGCCTGTGTGCCCCGAAGTGAGCCACTCCCCACACGTGCTCTGAACGCCTTGGTGTGTGGACTATGTGGAACAGTGCTGGTAGACGGGGAGCGAGATCATGACCCGGCAGGGAGCTAGGAGCACTAACCATACTGCAGTTACTGTGGGCTGACAGGCACTTCTTGTCATCGCACCACTGGCACCCGTTTGTGTTGGCTGTACAGCTGGCACAGTCTGCATATCTATAGCATCTGTCGTCGGACGCAGCTGAAATGCAAACGGGAGAGAGAACACAGCGCACGGAATGGGAGCGTGTCACACTGGTTCATTCGCACATTTTTAAACATCTGCTTGCAAATCACTAAGGCATTTTCTCACCATTATTATGGCTTTAAATATAAAAATCAGTTCCTCAAGATGAAGTCGGCTTTGGAGCTTAATTGTGTTTGCAGGGCTTGAAATCCTTCCTACCACCATCTTAATTATAACTGCCTCCAGGATTCCGTTGCCATTTGCAACTTACATATTGTGGAAGGGAAACAAGATGTGCTGGTGTCTTACTGAACAACTATTACCAGAAATCCAGAAGAAAACATTCTAAAAACAACTGTTTATAAACTCACCTTGCATGAAGAACCTTAGAGAAACCTTGTTAAGGTAGCTCACTCCACCAATGAAGTGTATTTGTTCACTGCAGCATCAAAAATGAAACCTCCATTCACTTAAATATTAATTTTTTAATCCAAATCATTCATAAATCATTTAATATTTACTAGTAAATTTAGTAACTTTGATTTCTTTATTCAATATTTCATACAGATTATGAAACCAGAAATTTGATCATTAAATTCTACAAATTTTTTAAAATTTTGTGGTCCAGTTTGACAATCAGTTCAGGAAGGGGGAAAAAAAAAGCCCTAACAAATGCAAAAAAAATCATTTTAATGTCTTAGAAGCACATGGCATTTCTCTAGAAATGATACAATTAAAAGCATTTTTTGCTTACATAGCAAAATAATGCATTCATGTATATATAGAGAACTCATATATAAAAATATTTAATAATATTTTGAAAGTCACATATTTCAGAAACCTAAACTTAGATAGCAATATTACTTAGGTAACCAATGCTAACTTCAAACAGCTCATCCCCTAATCACCGATGGGTTTATTTGTGAAAGGTACAGAAGGGATTCTCACAAGTAAAATTCATCTTCTCCACCTCTAACGAAGTATATAAACACTTTGCTGCCGCAGAGGGATGGAAAGCCAAAAAAAGTACCTGTTTTGGGAGGGCACTTTGCTCTGAGGATATTGTTAGTATTTCCAGATTCCCAAGATTCACAGTGATTTTTATTCCAAACACATTTTATCCCTGGACCAGCGTTTGTACAAACTTCTTCATCTCTGAAGGCCTTGCAGTTGGGAGGCTTGTAGACAAGAATGTCATTAAGGAGCACACTGGAAAATCCCCCAAATATATACATGGACCTGTCACAAGCAAAACAGGAGTCTTCAAAATTACATTTAAATATACCATTTGGAATTATTTTTAAAGTATGTATGGCAGCACTGGTCTTGAAAATCATATTTCTAACATACAATATGTGGGTAAGGCAGAAAGAATTGCTACAAAACCACAGATACTTTTATCACACCAAAGAAGCAGCTGTCGTCTCTCAACGTATCCCCATCTCGGTCCACGTACTTCTGAAGGAACTGTCTCCATCTCTTGAGCCCTTTCCCTAAAGGACTCTGTACTCTTCCATTTACACCATGTACTCCAGGGAGCTCAAACCACGGTCCCTTGACAAGGTCACTGGGTTAGGGTACAAAAACAAGTCTGCAGGGGTAAGGTCAGGGCTCTGGGGCAAGATTTCCCAATGAAACGCCCTTGGCACAGCCCTAGCTACCCTTGAAGAATGAGCAGGACTGCTATTGCAGTGGGAGAGAGCATGCTGGTGCCACTCCCCTGTCCTTTTTCTCACCAACGCTGTGGTCAGTTTCCTGATGGCTTCCAAACAGCCCCTGTGGTGACCCCGTGTCCTTCAAGAAAATCTAACAAGATCACCCCTTGGCAATCCCCCAAAAAACAGCTGCTATAATCTTCTGAGCTGACCTTCCTGCCTTGAATTTAAGGCTCTCCAGACTTGCTCTGTCTTTGTGGAAGCAGTCTGCCTCACCTCTCTGATATCCTCGGTCCGTCAGCCCATTGAAGCAAAAATGAATAAAAGATCCGGCTAATGAGGAAAACGTAGTCCAGGGTAGTGATAGACTTAAACCGGTGCCACAGAGTACAAACGATGGTTTTTCAAAAGGATAACAATGAAGTGGATAGTTTGACAGCCAGCACTGATCCTCTAGAAATGACAAGCGTGCGCCTCTTACCCATTAATGACAACTGCGGAGTGTCCAAATCTGTTGACATCTCTATGAAGATTTGGTTTAGGTAATATTTTCCATTCGTCACAAGCTAGAAGATAGAAGTTTTTTAAAATGTATTTTAAGTGCAAGATTAGCAAATGAAGAGAAGTACTACAAAATAATGATTCACCAAATTAAAGATACAACACTTAAAATCAAGAAAATAAATCAGTCGTTTTCTAACTTTCCTTGACTCACAGTTTAGAATCATGACTCCATGAGCAATATTCCTTAAATAAAATTGTCACTTGCCAAAAATTTCTATAACGAATGTGAAGTGTGTGAAAATAAGGGGTACGAAATCAAATATAATTTCTTATTACATACTTTCAATGACATACCAGTCTTCTTTAAAGAACAAAACACAGTTTCTACAATACAACTCACAAACATCAACGCTGAATCAACTAGATGGTTAAACTAGCACATAAGCTTTTACATGTACAAAGAAAAACAAATGGGCTAAATAACATTTATTGAAAGAATGCCTAAAACAGATCCAGGAAAATAAAGTACTGAGCTCACTTTAACAACTTAGTATTTCACAAACACAGTTTTCATTTTATACGAGAAGCATTCAGTGACTTAGGATATTTGCAAGACAATGTTTTATCCTTCTTCATCCTAAACCCTCCACATATAAAGGATGCCCTTAATATTTAATAAAAGTAAATAGTATAATATGCTTTTTGAAAGCTAATTTAGTTATTGTAGAGAGCTTTTTAGATGAAGAACTGATCTGAAATGTTAATTGTAAAAGTTAAATGAATTTTTCTATTTAAGAAATTATGTCTATAATACTAATATTGAAATAATAAATTTTATTAACTTCAATATTAGTCAATATCAAAGGAATTTTAAGCATCAAAATCACAGTTTAAAAAATGAAGCTATAAGACTGAGAGCCAAAGAAGGACATCTTGAGTGCTTCACAAACTGTATCTCAATACAAATTCCCAAAACTGCTGTGTTCCTTCGCTTGTTATTTCTGTCTTTACTTTACAAAGTATACTTTCATAATAAACATCTCAACAGAGATAGTATGAAAGTCCAGAACTCCAGTGTTCTCCCAGTGTTTTACATGCATCCCAATGTTCCCCCAGTGTTTTTTCCACAGGAACAGTTTTCACGTAACACTATAAACTTCCCAAGAGCCCAAAAGCTCTAAGATCACACTGCTGTGCCCCATAGGGTCACTATGAGTCAGAATCAATTCGATGGTAATGAGTTTGGTGGCATAGTGGATTGTACGTTGGACTGCTAACCGCAAGGTCAGTGGTTTGAAACCACCAGCCTCTCCGAGGGAGAAAGATGAGGCATTCTACTACCACAAAGAGTTACACTTTCAGAAACCCAAAAGGGCAGTTCTACGGGTCCTATAGGATCACTAAGAGTCAGAATTGACTCGATGACATTGAGAGAATGATACATAAAAATTACTTCTGGTAATTTTACATTGAAGAGTCGGTTTAAATCTGTATTATTAAGTGTATGCAATCAGAAAACTTCCAAAGTGTTTCCTTCTATAGAACTCAAATGGTCTTTTAAAGAATCCTGTTGCTCTCTCTGCAAGATATTCCTGTTGACAAACCACAAGGAGCTACGCTGATGGAGCCAGAGTCCTGGAGCTGGAGGAGCCACGTGGAAACCCACACCAAAGCTGAGATGCTTCCACTGCCACTGGATCCACAAGACTTTCCACCCACTGGCCTGCGATCTTCCTGCATTTGGCATCATTGCATGTGCTGCATGAGTCTGAAGAGGACTTTATAGATTAGTATCAGGCATA